AGCTCATAAACCAGACAAAATTATAGCAGTAGCCGTTTTTTACCTCACAATATATAAGCATAAAAACGTTAATAAAGTAATAACAAATATCTATTAAATCTATAAAGTAACAGATACATATTAATTATTACTCAAATTATTATTTCAGTCATTCTTAACGTATCAAGCGTCTGTATGCAAAGAGCCAAAAACTATGGTTTTTATCATTAAGTGAAGACATAGCCTAAAGATGCTTTGCGGGCTTTGTGGCATAACCAGGTTTCATTCGCTCGGGCCCCTGGGTAGTTGCCCCCCCTTCCCCCCCGTTGGCGGGCCTGAGTTTGGTATTAAAAAGCAGGACATGTTACTAAAGAAGGTGGCTCTAGATAAATATGCTGCTTTTTTTTTCATGAAGTGTACTCTGTATTTAAATTTCCTTCACAACAAACAGTACGAAATGTATTCATCTTTACAATACATTAATTTAGTGCCTACATTATCAAGGAATTCTTTACCTTTAAAACAACAAGTATATGGAATCCTATCAAATTTCAGCATTATTTATGATACCAAAATCAATTGCTTTTTTCAAAGATATACTCTTCGTGATTAACAGAAGTATAAAAAAAGTTCATTAACTTTTATACATGACATAGATTACTCAAAATTCTTAAATAACTACAAATATAAACTTTAAGAGCTTGAATAAACATTATTATTAATTCTTAAAAGTTTTAAAGCCAATGCTAGTTCTATATTACAGGGATTATTCATTTTGTGTTCAATGTGTATGATTTAAGCTGAACACTAGTAAGTCTTAAACATAGCACAAGTACATGCATATATATATATATATATGTTCTATATATAAGACAAATACTCAAATTTATGCAATTACCAAGTTTTAAAAACTTGAAAATCTATAATAGACTTTATAGTTAGTATGTTACATATTTATTATATTGGAAAATAGTGCTTTGTTTGCTGTAATATGAGATCACAATGGTGGCACCATGTCTTGTACAACTTTGAGGGAGCAACTACAAAATTCACATTGAGATGCATACTCTCGGTTTCTATATCAATGTCCCACACCTCAAGCCTCACTTTCCTCAGATACTTTCCTTTTATGTTCTAACTGACAGGCTGCAGGCTGGTCCTGAATGGTATTTGAAGAAACTGTATTTAATTCTGACGACTGTTTGTCCAGTATGAGAAATTTCCCATCTTCACTAATAGTAGGTCCCAGGATATCTTTCTCTGTAACGTCATCCAATAACTAGAACAAAAAATGTATATACTAATAAAAAACTGTTATGTAATATTTCAGTTTAACTTATAACACTAAAAACAGTGAAAGTAAAATTAAATGTGGTACAATAAAATCATATGTTTTAATCATTTAGAATATTATAAGTATATTACCTACATTTCTGTTTAGGGTGGGTGAGTGAATATGGAATGAGTTTCATGTTGCAATTGCCCGATGTTTTTCATAAACTAAAAACTACTTAACATTTAGAAAGCTGAATTACAGCACTGAAAAACAATATTTATTATATACCATAATTAAAGTTTACAACTAAATCGCTCACAAACAAGTAAACAAAAACTAATGTTTATTGATAGTAATTTAGAGCTACAGGTAGGATATTAATGAATAACCCACACCATTTAAGCCATTAACTTAGGTGAACACATCATTACTTCATTGTGTGTTTTAAAGACTACTCTATCACTGAATATAGGTTAAAATCTTACCTCACTTGTCTTGTCTTCTTCATTTTTCTTGCGAACCTGTGAAGTGTAAAAACATTTGGATAAATTTGTTATAATAGCTTATCTCTTTTATTATATAAATTCTATTAGTTTAGAGCAATACAGTTGAACTTAAATAAGATAAATTTGTGCTATATTTATGTCACAATAAATAAATAAATAAATGTACATATACACACACACGTTTTAATAAATCTAGTAAAAAACACAAGTTCCAAACATTAAACATCCACTAATCTATTTATCTTACAGCAACTTTTGTTTTCACACACAAAAGTGGAATATATATTTCTTACCATAATTTTATTTAAGGCAATGTTAGCTGCTGTAGTTAATGCCCCACAGATCTATATGAAAATACAAAGTATTAATATTTTAGATTTTTAAAAAGAACAAAATAGGTTTATATTATTTTCTCTCAATTACTAGCTCTGATAACAGTATACTGAAAAATTTGGTACACCAAACTTTTCTTAAAAGAGAATTCCAGTTTCAAACTTTATAAAGTAAGTGGAAGAAAGTACATCTTTTAGTATATTTATTAGTGATTAACTTTAAAATTTTGTGTTAAAAGTAAATATCCATATATTTATATTTTCCAACTTCCAAAAAGCAGAGTGTAAAATAATTATATTTACTAACAGTTATAAAATGTTTACTCTCTGGGGAATACGTTATTTTAGTGATGAGTAAACTGGAATGGAGGCCTGTTGTAAAAAACCACTAGTCCTCTACACTTGTGTTTTTACAACAGACAGTCGCCATTCATCCCAATTTAATCATTATGAATAATCTGTCTGAACAATTTATCAAAGAAAGTTATTTTGGTATTGTTTTACAATATACAAAAGGTGTTATGCCATTGAAAAATCTCAGAAAATAACTGAAAAGAAACTCTTTTTAAACCACAGTATACCTCTCCAATGCAGAAAAATCAGATAACATTGTGTTCAAGACATGCAGTTGTTCCATAAAGATATAAACCCAAAATTCTGACAAAAAGGTAAATTATACATTTCTCACAATAAGCATGTTGACAATATTTAAGAATAATAACCTAATTTCTTTGTAATGCACAAGCTACTTGTGAGCATACCTCATGGAGAAATGTTTTATATTATTATTATCTTACATAATCTAATAAGTTTCTAATTTTTACATTTTAGTTACTTTTATAACAATAAATAGAAAATAAACAAGAAATTTAGTATTTATGTTTGGCTTCTTGTTATTTACTGTTTGCCAACACATAAAATTTAGGCCAAATTTTTCTGTAATGATGTTACTAGTACATTAAATATTTTTTATTTCTTTGAAAAAGGCAAATAATAACATAGAATAACAATATTTACAAAGCAAACAATGTCCTATAACTGTTGTAATCTAACTGGCTTTCTAACTAAGCCATAAGTGAATTAATATAATTCCCTTAGCTACTCAGTCTGAGTTCGATGATAGCAATATTCAACCTGTAGGCAGAAAACTACAGCTCTGTACTGAGAAGAAAATAGCATTATATGTTATTTGGTAAATAAAACTTTGTCCTTCTTTGGATTATAAATAATGTAATAGAAAATATCAGAGAGCATTATTAGCAATTTGTGAAAAAGAGGATGCAACAGGTGGGTTTGACTTTCTAGTTTAAGTCTTCATAAACAAAGAAGGTTGAAGGCTATAAAAATTAGACTTCCCCTTAGTAAGATCTATAATATAAGGAGTAATTTATGTTAAACTCAGGGCATTAGAGAGGGGTGATGATGGGCAAGATGGTGCAAACAAATGTCACGGTTCTCATACAATGAGAGATTGAAGATTTATTTAAATATTTCCTTTTAAAGACCAAGATATTAAAACTTGTATTACAATTTGACTTATTAGCTATGTTTTGCTGCAACGTTTGCTCATATACATTTCTAATAAAGAAGTTTAATCAAATTTTGAATGTAACTCTATAAATGGTCATGACATGCCCACTTTGACTGTACCACAACAAAAGGGATGATATTTAGTTAAAAGAATACTTTCTCATAGGGCTATCAGTGTACAGCCATCCATAATTTTAAAGTGACAGACTAGAGTGAAGGTCAATAGCACCCACCACCAATTCTTGAGCTATTATTGTCTGATCTTATATTGGGATTTGGCTATCACTCTTACAGCCAACCCATGGCTCCAAAGTGCATAACACATTTCTGTGACAACAGGCTATGAATGACGAACCTCTGGATTCACAATTTGAGCACACTAACCACTAGGACATCTCAAGTTTGAGACAACAAAATTTTGATATGTTGCACAGCTACATTAGTTCTTTACATTAAACCAACCCTAAAACAACTTCTGTGATGCAAAATTCTATGCTATACATTGTATTAACAAAACAACTTGGTTAATCTAAAACATTATCCATCAAACAGTTACCTCTTCGGCTGATGTCTGCACTTCAAAAACATGACAGTGGAAAGTTGCTTGCTCAATATTTTCTGACCTTGTTCTTGTAATAAAACCTAAAAGTCTGGATGAACCACAATTACTAGTAGTTTTATATTGTTTTCCATTTTATTAAGATTTATTTATAACAAAAAATAAACTAAAACTTGAATATTTAATACTACACTACACTCAACTTAAATTTTACTTGACCTGGAAAGTTTATAAAGAAGTTTTCTAATAAGTTCTTTCTGTACATCCATATACAACTGACCTTTAAACAATTTAAAGGAAATTAAAAAATCATTAAGTTCAATTTCCACAGTTACGTTCAAAAGGTTTTTCATTAATTTGATACTTAACTATTTCTTTCCTTTTTTTTTAAATGTATATTTTTTCATTTCACAAACATTTAATTTGATAACCGTGAATATTTCATGACTGTTTTGTTTTAAAAGAGCTTCTACAAGACATTCTACCATCAGGCTTATTACTCATAATTTCTTGTTTACAAGTACTGTAAAATATTTTTTTATAAAGTAAAAAAGATACTCATACCTCTTATTATCTCTATGGGTTGTCCAAAATGATATGTCTTCTAATGGAAAAATAGCTCTTACAGCTTGATGTGAAGGGTCTAGTACTCTGGGATAACAGAATCAGAAACAAGCCATTTACTTTAAAGTTCTTCTTAAACATCAACAAAAGGTGGTATGTATTTCTGAAAGAATAATCTGTCTGGAAAGAACTAAATTTGGATGGTGTTTTGGCACTTTTATGATTATCTCCACCAAGTCAATCTCAAGAGTACCAAATGTTTTCCAGAGTTACTCTTTTCCAGGCAGACTATACATTCAGAAATACACACCATTAATAAACCTCTAATTTTAAAGTCTATTATAAAACATCACAAAAAGCTAATTGTCAAAGAAAATAGAACTGAAATTAGTTTCTACAACTTTGTAGATTCTATTTTTTTAAAAATAAAACTATATTAAGTAATTCAAATATTCGTATTTTAGTAAATTTTGCGACTTCATTTTCCTGTTGTTTGGTTTTGCAAAACGAACATAAAATGTAGTCCAATGAAACTTATTATTAATATTTTTATAGAACAGACCTTTAATCAAAGGATTTTAAAAAAGCATTCACACTTATCTTAAAAACCTATAGAAATTTCTGCTTTAATGAGAGTTTGATAATTATAACTTACTTCAGAAATTCATGTGTCACAACAAGATGGGATTCGGACATTTTGAAGATGTTGTGTATGGCCCTTGCTGCCATAATCTGTCGAATTGTCTCGTACACAACCTGATCTCCTGTTTAAGAAATCGTTTTGGTCATATTCACACTCAAGTAGCAGTTAAGTGACAATAAGGAGATTTTGGCTCTTACTTGGATTCAACTTCAAATTTCAATAATGATTACTTTTTTATGTAGCTATCATAATACAGTTGTACTGATCCATTTGATTTTGCAGTGATAATGGATTAATTGTTTCAATGTTACTGTTATGTTAGATATTTTTCTAAGAATTACTAGAGTTTTTGAGCATTGACCATTCCAGAATTATTTTATCACCAGGAGAATTGGAAACATGATGGGCAATAAAATTAGTAATTCAAATTAAATTAACTTGTAGTTTATACAAGTGGGTACATACCATTAGAAGCTTTTCAAATAATCATAAAACAAGTTTGAGAACTACTATTGAAACTGTTATAAGATTAACTTCTTCATTCAAGTTTAATCACGGGTTTAAAATTCAGATATAATTTACCATAGAAGTCAAAATATAACATGGCAGTGCGTATTGAATTTTGATTGTAAAAATACGAAATAATGACGATAGGTAAAATACTAAGTAAACTCCCTTTTCGAGACCATATTTTTTAGTCAATTACTCAAAATTACAAGCCACCCTGTTTTGCATTCGAGCTCAAACTTTTGAGTACTTTCACATTTCTACACAAATTTAATAGAACTTGCATCACACATCTGCCTTAATATTCAATGGAACATAAACATTCATTAAACTAACTGGACAGCATTAACCATAAGAAATACATATATGTTAATAATGCAATAAAATGTACCAGGAAAAATATGGATTGATTTCACATTGTTTTCTCACCTCTGTCCTTCTTCACCTGCATAGTACCCATAAACCGAACAGGATACACCTCCCAGAATGGCGAGGTTGTATCCTTTGCAGCCTCTGCAGAAATGGTCAGACTAGATTGGTCAAAAGGATTGATCCTCCTAAAATGAAAATACCAAAAAATATGCACCATACTGTACTAAGAATGAGAGAAATATGAAGATAAATTTTTCACCAGTAACAAGTAAACGTTATACTGTTAAAACATATCAAGTTTGTCAGATTGCATCTTTGTTTTTTTCAATGAAAATAAAAAAAATTAACTTAATCAATAAAACACTAATGATGATGAAAGAATTTGATAACAAAGCTATGCACAAATAATACAGGTTTGAGTGCTCTTAGGCCATTTCAAGTTCTTAGAATAAGATAAAACTTTAATGAATAAGCAATTTAAGTATTACTTACTCATTAATTAGCACTCCTAGAAGCCCTTTTTTTGTTTGATACATTTGAGGTAATTACAAAACTACATTGTGTTCTATTTATGCCTGCATGCAGTTTTATGATATTCAAATACACATTTAATGATGCAAATGAGAAAGTTATGAAAAACACAAACATACTTTTGAACATACACTTAGAATTATTTTATATAAATGAAATGAAAAAATTTAAAAGGTAGACTTTTCATCCTGACTTTTACATACTGTCAAATGCAAGATCATAGAGATAATGTTGCTGTAGTTTGATTAGGCATAGTATTTCACAATGCACATATCACTAAAAGAGCAAAATTTAATAATTACTATTAAAATTGAAAAGAATTGCTAAATTATCTAAAACATCACATGTTCTGTATGTAAGTCCTTACTGCAAGTTTTCAACTTAAGAAGTTGACTACGGACTTAGAAAGAATTGCATAATCCTAAAAATATCTGTTGTATTTTGATTGAACCTTCCATTCTGCAGAAGCCAGAGTAACTAATTAACCACTAATCACAAATGCTATTAATGGTCTAGTGATCAGTTCAGTAAACAAAACATTTTTTTTTCAGGAGAAATGAAATGAAAGAGAGTGCTCTGCAAGTGAACAGTAAACCATTAAACTAAGACATAAAACGAATGAGATATTTTATGTCACACAGGATCATGGTTGAGTATTATCTCAGAATCTTACTCTTTTGTATAAGCCAACATATAGATACGTATACAGACGAGTTATATAATTTAATAAAAACTTTGAAACTAATTAAAAAAATAAAAACACATTGAATGTTACAAAAAGGTTTCAATTAACCCTAGTAAACAAAGAAAATGTATGAATGAGGTATATCTCACAGTGGTGGTCCTTCTTTAGGTTCTTTGTTAGACTGGAGCTCTTCTGATGGAGAAAACATATCAAACTGGATAGGAACATCCAAGACAAGGTGATCAATTGGTGATGAGGGGGGTGTTGGCAATGGTCCTGATAAGGTTAGAGACTTTTTACTGCAGATGATAAACAATAACAAAAAACAAATTAGACAATAATATTTCTCTTTCCACCATTAAAAAGTTTACTGTATTATGCTTTACAATTGCTTTAAATTATATTTTTGGTACAGTTAATATTTCATGTATGTTGATCATACTGTATTCTGTTTCTGACAATTCAAAAAACTGTCATATGCATTTAAACCATAATATAAAGTATAAAAGTATGTTAATAATGATAACATGATCTACAGTTTGTGAAGAAAATATTGTTAAAGTCAAACAATATTTCATTTCAAGATATATTTTAAGCTTGAAAGAATTGGGGAATACTTTTAAACATGCTAAGTGCTTCTATCTGCATCTTTAGAGTTCACATTACAAAATGAAGCAACTTTACTGCTTAGTTTCTCTGTATTTCGAGTAATTTTTCAAGAGAGTTTAGAAATAAATACTGTAGGCTTACTTTTCATTAGAACTAATGTTTGGTACAGGAGATACTGGAGAAGGCTTCTGTGGCTGATATAAATGGACGAAGAAAAAATATTAAAACAAAAGAACTAACACCTATTAATAGTTACTTTTTTTGCATTTTGAAAATTTAGTACCTTAAACTACATATTTAGCCTTCTTTTATGTTCATCCAAAAATCCTAAAAAGAGTTAAAAGGCAAATAAAATGTCTGATTTTGGTTCAATCCCACATTAAATACTTGCAAAGAAAATACAAAGACATTATATTACAAAATACTTTTGAAGTAATTCACCTTGAAATTATAAAAATAGATACTTTCTAAAAAAAAGGATTCTGTTACTTTAACATGTTAAGTCAATAGTAGGAACATCTTAGAAAAAGATTCTAACTGTTACTTTAATATCTTACGTTAGTACTAAGAACAGCTGTTTCATATCCTAGAGTTAACTTATAAAGAAACATTATATTAAAAATGGTAACTGAGGTATTTTGAGGTTATCTCTGCAATTTCATATTTCATACACACAAATATTTAAGTTCATAAAACAACAACTACTAAAATCCACCAGGTACCAATTGGCTATGAAAAGCTCAGTATCTTATACTTTTTATATGGAAAAACTACATCAAGCTTTAAAATTGTATGTTATATTTCTCTTCAAATTCATTAATGGAGTAGCTATTGGCTCTAGCCCTACTTCTGACCTTGCTAAGTTTTTCTGTGCTTCCATGAAAGTTATCATTTTCCTAAACTGAAAATGTATTTCCAAGCATACTTACCTCCACTGACACTTATAGCTATTTCTTGATCTTCATCTTTGCCATCTAAACATTATGTTCGCTTGCTCCAGTCTTTATACCCCACTCAACTGCCCTTGACAATATCTAATTTGCAAAACTTTACACCGACCCTCTCACGCCCTCTATGCAGGTACTGTACATAAGCACTATATATCGACAAGGTGGCAAGGGGAGTTGGATCGCAAATATATACATATCTTTGTGATAGGATCCCCACCAGCAGCCACGGAATGATGCGTTTCGAACACCCAGACTTACGAAAGAAAGAAAGCAACACCAAAGTGGACAATCCTTCTGATCAACCTGAAGAAGTCCAAAAGACAACATCCCAGGCTTAGATTGATGGGATAATATATGCCATACTCCACCCAAGGTCCAGAACTCATCCAGTCTGGATTTATAAACAGTCATTTTCACTCCCCAACCAAGTGGACAAGGAGAATTCCACTTACCCATGAAATTATGGAGAGAACATGGAACACTGTTCCACCAAGGGCCTAAAACAGGACCTTGTTATGTTAGGATATACGAGGAGATAGTGGACCCTCTGCATGAACAAACTAAGACCTGACAGTGTTCATTAGAGGGTCCAAGTACACCCCCACTGGTTAGCTAAGCATCAAATCTGGAACAGTTTTATGAGTAGGCTACTGTTCCTACCAATATCTGGGAAAAACTTCCAGGGACCCAGGTAGGAGGGTCCCCAACTTTGCCCACTTCTCTGAGAATGGAGAGAACTCAACACTTCAAAGGAAAATCCTGTCCACCACCACGCGACTGGGAACTGGGTGTGGTAAGGACTCCCTAGCTTCACTAGAAGCAGTAGTGGGACATGTATGCGGTGGGGAGTCCTGAGGAATAGGTCTCCGGAGACAGTGCAACAGGTGAACCATGTTCCCAAGTAGGAGGGTCCCCCCGAATCTGGTGAGAAGTGATGTGAATTATATTCCGATCTACAACAGATAACCCCAAATAGGCTATAGGAATCAACTTCCAAAGTACCCTGGTTAAAGTAATGGGTGATAAATCCAGGGATATTACAGGATCCCACTAAATAAAAAAAACTAGTGCATAGGGCCCCTGAACAGTTCTGTACAAACTACAGAACATCTAAGTGCGCCGACTGGACTCAAAAATCTGGGTATGATAGATTGTAAAAATGAGAGATGGCTGAGAAAGGAACAGGAAAAAAAGATTATATTCCCTTCTCTGGCAGTGAGAGTGTTCAGTAGGAAGGATCTGTCTGGATAGAGCCAAAAATAGGTGGAAGGATAGAGAGTCTGCTGAATAGGGATGGCAAATAATTCAGAACAGCTGCATCTGGAAGCTAACAACAACAGAAATATACTTTGAGGGAAAGGTGATACAAAGAACAGGGGGCCATAGGTTTGAAGTGATAAAGTGATGACGATTGAAAAAGCAACTCCAAAGTCCTAATTAGGCAATTGAAACAGTCGCTTGGGATGAAGAACATGAAAGGATCAGAAAACGAGATAGCACATGAGTCAAAAAGCTTCATATACATAGAAGAGCGAAAGGGAGCAGCGAAGGATGTTGTATATAAATCAAGGTAGAAGCCAAACCTTTCAAAAATCCATGTCAAAAACTTGAAACTATGGAGACTGTTGGATGAAGTGGATTAAAGGCTCACCAAAGACACCACTGACAATACGTAGTCCATTTTCATCAATAGATTACCATAGTAGGTTGATGGAGGATATAGTCAAATAAACAGAAACTGTATAATTTAAACCCCTATTAAACGTCGTTAAACGTCCAGGTGTTGAATGTTGGACTGAGGTTGACTCAACAAGGATGAATGAAGAGGTAGTGGTAAACATTCCTGGAGCAACAGAAGAGGAAACCATGTATGAGCAGGCCAAAAAAAGGTGCTGACAAGAGAACCCAACATGAGGTGAAATAAATCACAGACAAGAGTCAGTGTAAGAGATGAATAGGAGGAAAAGCATATAAATGGAATCCTGTCCAGTCTTGACCGAAAGCATCTATCACCAGAGCTGGTGGATGTGGAATAGACCAGAACTGTAGCCCAGCATTCCAATGGGTTGCAAAGGTGTCGATCATTAGAGAGCTGAACTGAGAACAAATATATTGAAAGACTACCTGATGGAACATCCATGCTGGTGGAAGAATCTGATGGGGTTGAGAAAGGTGATCTGTTATTAAAATCATAACCCCTGGCACATGGCAAGCCAAAAGATTGATGTCATTGGAATGAGTCAAAAAATAAGATCCAAAGCCCAAAAACCAAGACCTCAAGAATGAGAACTTCCCTGACGAGAAAAATATGAAACTACTGTAGAGAAATCAGAATGAATCATGACCATTTTGTTGTACAAGAAAGGAAGACCTGGAATTATCACTAGATGTAATGCAAGAAGTTTGAGAATGTTGATATGCAGGGTAGATTCATAGTTGGTCCAAATACTCTGGAATGCCTACCCCAGAAGAAAGGCACCCCATCCATGAATAAATGGATTTCCACATGAGGAGGTGGTATCCAGACCCTGATATTTGTGCTGTTCCTGTCTAGCCACCAACTGATAGCTGTAATTTGTTAGACTGTGTGATTCAAAGGATCGGTATGCATGAGCCACTGGCCAAGAAATGGCCACTGAAAGGATCTCTTATGGGCATCATCTAATGGTATGAGGGATTCTAGGGAAGCCCAAGTCCCCAAAACAGAAAGAACCATCCATGTAGTGGGAGAAGGTGACATAAGCAAATGCCTGACAAATCCTTCCCTAGCTTAAAGTCTGAGGGGAGAAGGTTGAGCTTGACTCAAAGTGCATTGAAAAACACCCCAAGATGGACCATGTATGGAATTGGCTGGAGAATGGATGTTTTCAACCTGATATGAACTCTGCCCTTTTGGCATCAGAAAGGAGAATATGTGGATGTAGTGTGACATGACAGGTTGGTGCCAAAAGAAGTCAATCTTCCAAATAGTGATGTGTGCACAGACCCAGAAAATGAAGATGCTTCTCAAAGGACCGAAAACATATGGTGCTGAAGCAAGTCCAAACAGAAGAGCTTGGAACTGCTACATCTGGTCCCATGCAACAAATGTATGGAACTGTTTCTGTAAACCAATAAGTCAAGATGTCAAAGGTGGGGGCTGCGAGACGCGAATGATCAATCCTCCAGAATTACCCACAAAACATAATTCCTAGTGCTAGTGCTTTGTCGAGAAAAAGTGATTATATTGTTGACATACAGTTAACAGTACCTGCATAGAGAGCGTGTGAAGGCTGGTGTAAAGTTTTGCAAATTAGATATTGCCGAGGGCAGTGAGTGGCGGTATAAAGACTGGAGCAAGCAAACCCGATGTTTAGATGGCAAAAAATGAAGATCGAGAAATAGCTATAAGTGTAAGTGGAGGTATGTATGTTTTGTGTATGTTTTGAAAACATTTATTTACAGTCCTGTCAAGAATGTTTTAAACCTGTATATTACAGGAGATATGTTGATGACAATTTTGTGATGTTTAACAATTTCTCCCGTTGTTCTGAAGAAAACAGTTACTTTACAGTCATACCCTACTTAAGCACTATTTCATATTAAGAGAATTATCAAAAAGCTACACCCATAAGTCCAGTGAAAACGTGTCTTTAAAACATTCTAAATTATAACGGCTCTTCAGCTTTAAAAACAAACAAAATCCATCGAATACTTTGCTAGTGGTATATACCTAAGGTTCAACTAAAAATATATTGGATAAACCACTAGAAGGCTCTGTAGTTGAATTAAAGAACACTTGTGACACTAAAACACCAGTAGTATTACCAATCACTGTCTAAATGAATGTGATGTTATACCTACCTCCAGTTTTTCCATCCCTGGGAAGAATTACATCTCAGAGTGCTAGAAACTCTTGCTATTAAGCTAAGAATATTAGCTCTTAATCAGAAAATGAGTGTGCTACCACTACATCTTCAAGTATAAAATTGTAAAGAAAAGAAGAGAATGTAAGTTTTTGTTGTTCAGAATAATCTATAAACTAAATTATAACAGATATTTTTAGATTAAAATTTTGTTGTTTTCATACATATATTATCTTTTTGTTAAATAAAGTAATAAAAAGAATATTCAAACTACTAATCTTTATTTAGATTTTTGCCTCTCCTCTTTCAAATTCTCTCAGTCTGGGGTAAGTAATATATGTAATAAACACATCATTTTATAAAGTATGCAAAGTTCTCATAGTTCGGGATAAGAAACTCAAAATAAACAAATCAGTTTACAGATAATTTTAAGTTCTCTCAGTCTGGGATAAAGTAATGAAAAAAAAAAGTTCACAGTTTAGGACAGATAAGTTAAAGCATCAGTAACCTACTTTAGGGATATTGTGTAGTTTTTCCTGAGAAGGTTGACTGGGTGGATTTCCCCGATCCCGACTTGAAAAGGACTCCTTAGCAATGTTGTGAATGGTAGCTATCCAAATTGTTTGTTGGGTTATTAAATTTAGAATTCAGCTGTGGTTAATTTCAAATTTTGTTTCTTTTTTATAGGTAGATACTAATGTGTAAAATCTGTAAATATAGTGAGTTTCTGTAAGACAAAAATTGTTTTTGTTTTCGGATATGTATGCTAGTAGTCAGAATTCATGCAGTAAACATACACTAGCAGGTGAATTGTACACCATTTGTACATTTTATATCATTCTATACATATGTGTTGGATTCAGCTGAATGTATTCCAAGCTAGATATGTTTATACATTTAAGAGTTAAATGAGTAATTGCCTACATTTTAATACTATGGTTTAGTAATGTGTAATTCTTTATTTTTTCATCAGAGCTGTAGTTCTACAGGCCCTAAATGAAAGGGACAGAGATGAGCTGCTGGCTAGTTGTCCGCCTCCTCTATAGAGAGTAGATCTAAACTAAGGGTGGCTATACTTAAATCTTGGAGTCTCTGATCTGTCCATTTATCCCATATGTTCCGTAATGTGCCCTTGACGTTAAAAATACTAAATACAAAAATACTGCAACATTATTAAATCAATAGCTCATCGAACAAAAATATAGGATGATTATACACTTGTCAAAATGACTCGTATATTTTGTATTGCATATTTGTAGGTAAAGAATTCATTCTTGAACAAGGTAAATATTGCTTTGTTGCTTACCTTTTTTATATTGCCTCATGTTAAACTGTCTCTTACAGGACTAATCTTTATCAAATTGTGGAGGAAATACAACCAGCCAACAGCAACTGTCCCCTACAAGACTACTCTATATCAAATAGTGAAGGGAGGACAACCAGCCAACAGCAACTGTCCCCTACAAGACTACTCTATATCAAATAGTGAAGGGAGGACAACCAGCCAACAGCAACTGTCCCCTACAAGACTACTCTATATCAAATAGTGAAGGGAGGACAACCAGCCAACAGCAACTGTCCCCTACAAGACTACTCTATATCAAATAGTGAAGGG